TCGTTGTTGTTTTTATTGTTGTTGTTGACGATGATGATGATGAGCAACAAGAAGAAGAAGAGGAAGAAGAAGAAAAAGAAGAAGAAATAAAAAGAAGAAGAAATAAAAAGAAGAAGAAAAAGTAGAAGAAAAAAGAAGAAAGTGGATAGGGGTGACGAAGGGGAAAGAAAAATGAAGAGGCGGAGAAGATAATGGTGACTGCGATGAAAATGATGTTCCGAGTTAACTTGTCACAGAAGGACTTCTCACCTAACTGGTTATACCAGGGGTTAACTTTAGTTCAGTCTCTGCTTATGCTTGGCGTTAAGTTTCCAGTTTATCCTTCACTCGATTCGTTGAAAACGTAAGAAGCGATCGCACCCAGCTATCTTACTTCCCATGTGCCTGGGACGTGTGGAGCGAAACAAACGAAATGAAAGAAGGCAGGGCAAGAAGATTTAAAAGCATGTAGAGTAGAATGTGCCGGGAGAGATAACAGACTTCTTCATGCACTTCTACTGAACTGAGCAATGCAAGGCTGAAAATAATAACTGAACCTACAGACCTTACGTGAGATAATAGCACCTGATTTCCAGTTTGCACTTTACTATATAGTTTGTGTTTGTTTAGAATCAATGCCGTTATAATATAACTAATAGAGTAGACAATATTCAATTGGTCAGGGCAGCAAAAACGACTAAAACTTATTTTTTTTTCCTCTACGACTTCTCATCTTCATACGCCTCCTCTTCTTCTTTTTCTTCTTCTTCTTCTTTTTTTTCTTCTTCTTTCTTCTTCTTCTTCTTTCTTCTTCTTTTCCTTTCTTCTTCTTCTTCTTTTTTCTTCTTTCTTCTTTCTTCTTCTTCTTCTTCTTCTTCTTCTTCTTCTTCTTCTTCTTCTTCTTCTTCTTCTTCTTCTTCTTCTTCTTCTTCTTCTTCTTCTTCTTCTTCTTCTTCTTCTTCTTCTTCTTCTTCTTATAAATAAAATTGATGCCCTTAAAGGTAAAATTTAATCTTCATTTTCTTCGTTTGAGTCCGTTCGGGGAGAGAAATTTGTTGAGTTCTTTATTTGTTCAACAGGAGGAATTTGTCTTTAGCTGAGACTAGTTATTTTGTAATTATTTTGCTTCGGTCATTTGTTTCAAATTCAAATTCTCTTTCTTTGACCACTTTCAGCTAGGTCCGTTCACATTTCTGCTCACTTTCCTTTCAGCTATATTTGTGGTGACGTTTTCTGGTCGCGATCTTATTTGATTCTGGATTGTGTTCAATATTGTCACTTTCTGTTTGTTGTGGTTTCCGCTCTTGCTGTTGTTTTTGTAATCTGGCTGGCCCTGTGCTGCGCTCAAGATGATTGGATGTTGGATCGATTTATTGTGGTTTTCCTTGGCTGTTTGTTGTTTCCGGGGAAAGTAGATTGCCTATCCTAATAAGGACCGGCGGTCGATTGACTTGGGCAGGTACTGATGGCTATACTGCTGAGGTCTGGTATTATTTGGTGATTTTCTCGTATCCTTGTTGTAAAGTACTGCTCCTACATAGGGTTTCGGTAATTTGGCCTTGGTTGTGTCGTATCTGGTATTAGTGTTTGGGGTAACGGTGTCGGCCTCGTTTGACTTCAAATTTTGGCTGTCGATGTGCTGATTTTTGTTAAAGATCCCTGTTGTGCGTACTGCCGAGAAAACAAACTTGGCTCAAAGGGAATCTGTGTATGGTTTCGCCCGTTGTTTTGTCGTAACGAAATTATTTTTTTTAAAACCATTATTTAGTTATCATAGAGGTGTCTATCATCCCACAAGTCAGTATCCTGTTTCTGTGAGCGGCGTGCAACATATCCCCAGTATTTCAGCTTCCGGGGCAAGATGCTACTTGTTTGTCATCCAGTTTTCCTCAATTTTCATCTCTCTGGAATATAGTTTATTTTTATTTGTAAGAATATATGTAAGTTTATCTATGAAACGCAAGCCACCATCATCATCTCCACCCCATCAATGGCCGAACGTCGACTGCATGGCCGGATTTAGACTTACTGATGCTCTAAGATATTTATATATACATAAACCCCGGCTGCCCCTGCCTCTTGAAATTGCACCAGCTTATATCAGAAATGTGTTTAAATATAAACACCTTTTAAATGGATGGGTAATGAAATATATTGTTTTTTAATGTTTTTAATTAAATTTTTAAAGAATGAAATTGCACAATCGTCGAATATATACTGCCTAATCTTGTAAAATCCTCGAAGTTACAACTTAAAATATTATTTTCTTGATTTCTCAAATGCAAAATCAATGATTTGATCATCAAACGATTTGCTGCATAATAAATAGGACTTACACGTACCACTATCGTTCCTCTGCGGGGCTAATTTGTGTCTGTTTTTTTTTTTTTTAAATTTTTTTTTCTATTTGAAGCCCCACCCTGGCTTTTGCCGGGGGCCTTAAATATGGCCTAACTACTGAACAGGGTTTCCGGGACCTCTTCAAGAGTGATCCATATTCGCATGGTGGAACTTTGTATCACCGGATGTTTATCTCCTGTGTGATACCCTGGTGGGATACAACTTACCTACCTACATAGATATAAATTTGATGAGGTTTTTTTTTTTTTTTTTAATTGGAAACCCCACCCTGGCTTTTGCCGGGGGCCTTATATATGGCCTAACGGCTTAACAGGATTTGCGGGACCTCTTCACGAGTGATACTTATGGGCGTGGGTACTTTGTGTCACCGGGTGTTTATCACTTGTGTGATACCCTGGTGGGGTACAACTTACCTACCTAAATACATAAATAGAAATTTGTTGAGGTTCCTGTAGATTGTTAGACTAACGTATTCTTTCCTAACAGCACTGGTCGATTGGTTTATAAAATACATATGTCCGACACACAACATGCAAATAAAACGACCCGTATGTTTTATGTTACTTTATATTGCTTTACTTCTGTGTACTGTTTGAGGTGGATTCTAGTTGTTTGTGTTTGTGAACGTCATCTGTTTGTTGTTTCTTGTGGTAAACTGGAAGTCAATCAAACAAGACAAAGTGTAAAACCTGTTTAGGCCTCTGTTTATACAAAGTAGCATTACATATATCCAGATGCTGCTGCATTGCTGAACATCTCTACTAACAGCCTATTTTATCATTGACACAGACGGTTCAGTGTCAAGAGGCAAAAGAAGTGCTTGGGGCTTCTTAGCAAAAGTTAATGGTCGACGTTTGGTGCAGGAGAGCCTAGCATATGATAGGATTGGATTTTTTACCCCACCAGGACATCACACAAGCGATAAACACCCGATGACACAAAGTGCCACCATGCGGATGAGGATCACCGTGGAGAGGTCCCAGAAACCGCGTTCAGACATTTGGCCATAATGATGACCTGCCTATATTGCGGCCCCTGGCAAAAGCCAGAGTGGGGCTTCAAATAACAAAAAATAACGTCATAAGAAGGAGGATAGCATATGATACCACAACATCCAGCTTAAGAATGGAGGTGGAGGCGGTCACTGCAGCTTTCCGCTGGCTAGCAGAACACGTCACACACACACATTGTTATTGTGACTGACACAGAAAGCATGCGGAGGAAGATCAGAACAGGTAAGCTTCGTGCAGAGTGGCATGCTTTGCTGCGGAGGACACAAGTGAGGATATTGTCTGGATTTTTTCACCGGGGCACACTGGTGTGTTGGGAAATGAGCAGGCGGACAGACTGGCTGGCTCTGCAAAACTTGGGGAAAACTGATACATGACAAGGCAGACGTGGTTAATGCCTTGTGGGAGAGCGTGTACAGTTGGGCGGAGTAGATGGATCACCACAGTCTGGTGAGATTGATGCAGGGGGGAGTGACGAGAGGTTCTGGCAGATGCTCGAGGCTCAGAGGAAAGGCAAGACGGACGTTTAATCAAAATGCTAATGGCACCATTAGTATCGAAACTCTTCGCTGGCTGCTGAAGATAGGCACGGAGCTCTTATGGTAATGTCCCGAGTGCTGTAATGTCGGTTCTTGAATCAAATCAATGAAATCAAATCTACTAACAGCTTTAGATCTAAGTCTATGATTAGTTCTAATACCCCGCACTTAGCACCTGCAATCGTTAGTTATAATCGTTAGATTACCTATCTACGTTTTACAAGCAAGTTATTCAATTGTTGAAGCGAGATTTTGGAACGTCGTTTAGCTTAGAAAGCAATTAAATGACGAAAAACTAAAGTTTGGGGTATTATAATACGTATCTGGTAGAGGAGATAGATCATCCAGTGTTTCAAAGTAGATTGATTTGTATCAGTCAAGACAGATAAAAACAAAATAGTTTATTGTACACATTTCCAGAAAAAAAGAAGTAATAATGAAAATGTATAAACATTAAAATCAATGTGGCGGAGAAGAGTAGGGTGGGAGGTGGGTTTCATGTTAAAAAAAGCATGTCAACTTCCTGAACTGAGCATAAAACAAACGCAAAACATGTTGGCATCTGTCTGTCTGTCTGTCTGTCTCTTTGTCTGTCTGTCTCCACTGTCATCTCTGTCGTATTCTACTTATTACCCCATCCCACGGCCAAACACACCCTTTTCACTCTTTTTTTCTGTCTTACCCAGCTTTCTATTATCACTCAAAACCCCTTTTTTCTCATCACTGTCTACTCCATCCCGCCCTAATATCACGCTCCTCTTCAGCATTCTCTCTCTTCTGTCTTTGTCTCTTTGTCAGTTGTGTCTGTCTGTCTGTCTGTCTGTCTGTCTGTCTGTCTGTCTGTCTGTCTGTCTGTCTGTCTGTCTGTCTGTCTGTCTGTCTGTCTGTCTGTCTGTCTGTCTGTCTGTCTGTCTGTCTGTCTGTCTGTCTGTCTGTCTGTCTGTCTGTCTGTCTGTCTGTCTGTCTGTTTTGTCTGTCTCTCTGTTTGTCAGTCTCCCTCTCAGTCTGTCCGTCCGTCTGTCACTCACTCACATAAACACACACACACACACATGCATGCACATTGGTACCTTTATTTGCTACATTGACAATACCGCTTTCCTTGTTTCAGTCTAAGGACCTTGATGCTGTAGAATCTCAACGATTGGAGCGCATACAAGCTGCCAGGCGCATCAAGAGAGTCAGATCAACACAGAGTCGACGCTCATATTCTGCAGATTCTCGCAATGAGGAGGCCAGTTCCTCCTCCTGCTTGCCAAATTGTCTTCGAAGCCAAAGACGTCCAGACCGGGACCGATTGTACAGGTGAGATGTTAACACGTTTTTTCTTCTTCTTCTTCTTCTTCTTCTTCTTCTTCTTCTTCTTCTTCTTCTTCTTCTTCTTCTTCTTCTTCTTCTTCTTCTTCTTCTTCTTCTTCTTCTTCTTCTTCTTCTTCTTCTTCTTCTTCTTCTTTTTCTTCTTCTTCTTCTTCTTCTTCTTCTTCTCCTTCTTCGTCTTCTTCTCCTTCTTCGTCTTCTTCTTCTTCTTCTCCTTCTTCTTTTCTTCTTCGTCTTCTTCTTCTTCGTCTTCTTCTTCCTCTTCTTCTTCTTCTTCTTCTTCTTCTTCTTCTTCTTCTTCTTCTTCTTCTTCTTCTTCTTCTTCTTCTTCTTCTTCTTCTTCTTCTTCTTTTTCTTCTTTTTCTTCTTCTTCTTCTCCTCCTCCTTCTCCGTCTCCTCCGCATCTTCCTTAGTGATATGGTCAAGCTGTTTGTCTCGCGTTCTGAAGGTAGTGGGTTCGTTTCACGGCTGCGATGTTCACTTCACGAGAAAATTTTTTACTGTGCTCCGTAGGAATCGTCGGCCGAAGCCACACAGTGTGTGCTTTGTGTGAAGCTCTCATCAGACGTCTGATCGTTCTGCAGAGAGATACCTAGCCATATGAGATTTTTAAAAAAACGGTGCAATGAGGTCGACGCTGTCGACTAAAATCTGTAATCTTTCTTCTACTACTCCTGTTTCGTCTGTTGCTCTTGCTGCTGCCACCGCTGCTTTTGCTTCTTGTTTTACTTTACTTCCCCCCCCCCCCCCCCCCGAACCCCCCTGTTGTTGTTTTTTTTTTTTTTTAGTTTCCAGAAGCCATGAGTTGTTAACCCTTAGGCTCGGTATTATGGATATCGCAACCTTTCGGCCTTGATTCCGTGATAAATACCGTAAATCTGGGAGAAATGTGGCTTTTCTGCCTACCCCCGGGAGTGAACCCGGACCACAAGGAGTTCGTCACCCGGTCACCGCGCAATCCGGTTTAGCAAACTACGCTAGTAGCCGGGCTTAGTGTTAAGTTGAGTTAAGTTGATTCAAAAACAGACATCACAGCACTCGGGGCATTCCCAAAAGCGCTCCGTTTCCATTTTTGTCATCCTAGGGTTGGGCTTAGGGTTTGGGTTATGATTTGGGGTAAGGTTAGGGGTAGGGTTAGGGTTTGGGGTAGGGTTAGGGGTAGGGTTAGGGTGTGAGTTAGGGGTAGTGTTAGGGTTTGGAGTTGGGTTAGGGTTAGGGGTAGGGGTAGGGTTAGGGTTTGGGTTAGGGGTAGGGTTAGAGTGACACATCACGGAAACGACGGAAGCTTATCGCTCATTACGACATACAGATCCGCAGGTCTCACATCTACGGTCACTAAGTCGTGCGTCAGAAGAACGCGGTCGCTAATGTGAGTCGCAGCGCGTGGTCTACGAGAGTCTTGCGTCGCAAGACCGCGGTCGCTACTGTCAGTCGCAGCGCGTGGTCTAGCTCTAGCAGGCATGTCGACCTCACTTTGTTCTTTTATTCGTGACTTGTCATCTCCGTATTTGCACTGCAGCTAAGGGAGTGAACTCCGACTAAGCTGCCGTCGCCTTCTAGCTAGCGATTGTTATTTAAAGGAGAGCCAAATTTCGTTTTCTCTCTAAACACACAAATACACACACACATACACTCATGTCCCAACAATTGCAGTCTGTTACCCTTTATGATTGTAGTAATTTATTGTAATTTAAGAGGATGAGTGGTCTCATGGTATGGGGTCCGCCTTGATTGCTCGAGGTCCCTGGTTCAAGCACCGGTGAGGGCTAGGATTTTTTTTTTAACGTGGACTTTTATTAATTTCCCCTGGTCTCTGGTAGTAAGATCAGACGCCTGTGTGTATTCTTGCTCACGTAAAAAAATCTTTGGGCAGTTGGAAATCGAAAAGAGTAGCCTAGCGGGCAAAATTTGGAATTAAAAATCGACCCAAAGTAGTTCAGGATCCTCGCTGGTGCAAAAGAGTTCGTGCACTGCGCTGAGAATCTTCAGTCTCAGGCTGGAGTTAGAAGTACTTATGGGTTTCACCCGTCTGCCATGATGTTGATTCATAAATAAACATAAAACTAAAACATATTGTAATTCAAGCAGATTGTGAATTTTATTTTTCTCTTTTTCTCTGTATTCTGTACGCTCACTATTTTCATATCTGGGAGGGGATGGGTGGAAAAGGTGGGGGGGGGGGGGGTCGTACATTTCCCCATTCTAATAACGTGCCTAAAATGAGTACCCAAAAATTACTGTGGGAAATAATAGCAGCCAACATAACGTTGACCAAACCATTCATCAAAATATGAATCTTAACGCTCTCTCTATGCGTCGCAGGCCATAGAGCCAGCTATTATTTCAGTTACTTACTTAACAGTATGTAGAACGTACTTTTACAGTGGGTAAACTTTCATTTTCCACTCCTTTAGGTGTATAGGGCACATAGGGCTAGACCTATATTTTGTAGACAAATCGGCACAAGATGGGTGATGTGGTCAGCATCACGCCAGCCGCCTTTACTTCCCGGGTTGCACCCGGTACCCACTCAAGGTCGACCAAAGGCTGTGTCGACATCAAAGAGTTTAGCCCAAAAAATGTTCTGGGTGTGAACATTCAGTTAGGCAATGTTCCCAAGAATAATTGTTGTCAACACACACACACATAAACGAAAAACACAACATATAAGAAGTCGGACGTAATTTATGAGTGTTAACTACTTTCTACAAGGAACCATTATTTTCACAAATATATTTTTAGTTTACCAATTTTGAATGCCCACGTTTTCTTTTCTCAGGGGCGCTAGAACTTGAAGGCTTGTACACTAGAGCAGCGGCTCTCAGCCTATGTGTCGCGACTCTTTTTTTTGGGTCCAAATACCTTTTCACAGTGGTCACCAAAGACCATCGCAAAACAAATATTCATTGAAGTTATAAAGGTGCGACGAAAATAAGTGTGTGGTTGGGGATAACTACAACACGATGTTTTGTAGTAAAGGGTCGTCACTACATGGGGAACTGTATTAATGGTTGGCGGCATTAGGAAGGTTGGCATCACCAGTTTATGACCAAACATATGTAATTAAGGAACACGTAACGTTAGTCTCCCTAAGCCCCGCCCATATATACACTAGCTCACTTCTGATTGGTAGTTTCTGAGCCCCGTGCCTTCGCAAAAGGTCAGTTGGGTGTTCCGCGATGCAGTTGATATCACGTGTTGTATATTTCAGCACGCCAGCGCTTTTAACACTCCGACAAATGGAAAAACTGACCCTAACACAAACCCCCTAAAAAGCTGCAATCTATGTCACAGGCATTCTTTTTTTCGGAATGAAAACGTAAATGCAAGACAACGCAGAAAGCAAACAACAGAGTGAGACACATCCGTAACCTTCAGGAAAGTCGACCAGCCCAACAAAGATGTGAATTATAATAGACCTAGTCTATTTGGGGAGATTAACGTCAACCTAACCGCCATTAATACAAGCTACGCAACTAGGAAAGGACAGGAAAATACAGCATAAGCAGTTTAACAAAAGAAGACAGTAGATGTAAAGCCTATCAAATGGTCTAAAATGTATTAATATGTTTAATTACCTTTAAGAGCACAACTATTATTATAATAACTTTTGGCTATCCTCCGAATAACGGGCACATATTATGGCGGCCAAAAACAGGGCCTCAGGCACATGTAAATTTGCGAACTTCAGGCGACTCAATTTGCGCATTTTCGGCGACTACCGCTACTGCCGAGAGTATCTCCCACGCCGCTACGCGTGGCGTGGATTGGGGCTAAACTAGATGGCTGGGACTCACGAGCTAAGCTGCAGGAGATGCGGAAGCTGCTGCTTGTGAGTCCCAGCCATCTAGTTTAGCTCCAATCCACGCCACGCGTATCTGCGTGGGAGATACTCTCGGCGGTGGCGTAGTCGCCGGAAGTGCGCAAATTAAGTCGCCGGAAGTTCGCAATTGACATGTGACTTAGGCCCTGTTAGGGTGTTTTTGCGGCCGCCATAATATGTGCCAATTATTCGGAGGATAGCCTAACTATTATTATTATTACTGAGCTATTAAAAAAAAAAAAACATGCTCTCCTTTTAAGTAGGACGAGTTCTCTCCCCCGCCCCTTGTTTTCTTTTTGTCAGCGCCCCTACCTTGACTTCGCCAAATACACAAACATACCTGCCTACGCACTAACCTTTCAACTTTTCACTTTGCAGATCTAGGCACGAATCTTCTTGTTCAGACTTCCCTTCCCCAGACTCCAACCCGCCTTCCTACGATGGCGCCTGCCGAGGTCGCTCTAGACACAACTCTGGGATAGAAGAAAACACTGCGTTACTTCTGGACGTCACCAGCTCTCACAGATCGTAAGTATTTACGTTTTTTTTTTATAAGCTTTTATTAACAGTGAACTAGTTTGTTCGTCTGGGCAGACGTTTGAGTTCGATTTTGTGAAATTATATCATAAATGCATTCTGTATTGATCAGATCTCAACTTCTTTAGCTATGCTTTTAATTACCAGCATTACTGTAGTAGATCCTTTCAATTGAGTGCCAGTACCTTTTTTGGGGAACTTTGTGGTGAATTCCGGCACTTTTTTTTTTTTTTTTTAAAGGCGCTGGTCCTGATATATAGAAAGCTCCTCTTAAAAAAAAAAAAAAAAAAAAACGTTATCGCAGGCTCCAAAGAAACACAAATAATTCCACATAAAATGCACAGCTTACAGCGCTGGACCAAGTACACAACTCAGTAGCTGTGCGACGAAACCTTTAGAAACCTGGTCCAGAACTGGGAAATCTGCACTATTAAACTCTGACCAGAATGAGAAAAAAACTTATGCATTTTGGCTGTCATCGATATATGTATGTTGGGTCTCCTGAATATGTGTGTTAGGTCTCCTCAATATAAATATGCTGGGTCTGCTCAATATAAATGTTTTATTGTCTCCTCGATACATGTATGTTTGGTCTCCTCGATACATGTATGTTTGGTCTCCTCGATTTATGTATATTGGGTCTCCTCAATTTATGTATATTGGGTCTCCTCAGTTTATGTATATTGGGTCTCCTCGATATATGTATGTTACGTCTCCTCGATATATGTATGTTACGTCTCCTCGATATAAGTGTGTTGGCTATCCTCGATATATGTATGTTAGGTCTTCTCGATATAAGTGTGTTGGCTATCCTCGATATATGTATGTTACGTCTCCTCGATATATGTATGTTAGTCTCCTCGATATATGTATGTTACGTCTCCTCGATATATGTATGTTAGTCTCCTCGATATAAGTGTGTTGGCTATCCTCGATATATGAATGTTGGGGTCTCCTCGATATAAGTGTGTTGGCTATCCTCGATATATGTATGTTACGTCTCCTCGATATATGTATGTTAGTCTCCTCGATATATGTATGTTACGTCTCCTCGATATATGTATGTTACGTCTCCTCGATATAAGTGTGTTGGCTATCCTCGATATATGAATGTTGGGGTCTCCTCGATATAAGTGTGTTGGCTATCCTCAATATATGTATGTTGGGTCTTCTCGATATATGTATGTTAGGTCTCATCAATATGAGTGTTTCATCATCATCAGTTCTCGTTATGCCTAGTGGCACATGAGGCTCCAGAGAGGACTTTCCATGCTTTCCTGTCCTTTGCAATCAGGGGTGCAGTTTTTCATGTCAAAGATGCCGCACTCAGGTCACTTTCCATCATTCGTCTCCATGTTGTTTTTGGACGAACCTGTTTTCTCTTTCCCTCTGGTGTCCATATGAGAGCTTTTTGGCAGGTATATCAGAATTCATTCTCATAACGTGGCCAAGCCATTTCCAACTTCTCTTGGTAATTATACTGTCTAAAGTTTCTTGGTTTGTGGCTTGAAGTAGTTTAGTGTTTGAGATTGTATCCGGCCAGAAAATTTTTATAATTCTACGTAGACATGTGTGGTGGAACGTGGACAGCTTGTGTGCATCCTTTTTGGTCATTCTCCAGCATTCCGCTCCATAAAGAAGAACTGGCAAAATGATGCTCTTGTAGAGTCGGAGTTTCGTTCCTCTGCAGTAATTGTTGGATTTCCAGATTTGCTTCATCCTTCCATAAGCAGCTCTAGCTTTGTTCAGACGTGACTGAATGTATTCTTCGGTGCCCCCCGGTAGGGACACCACACTGCTAAGAAATGTGAAATGTTCTACATTTTCAAGAGTTTGGTTATTTATGGTCACTGTTTGTTGGTTTGGACTGCTTGTCATGATCTTAGTTTTCTTTGTATTTATTCTTAGTCCCACCATTTCTGCTGTGCTTTGTAGTTTGTTACTTTTTTCTTGTATATGTTCATGTTTATGTGATAGGAGTGCTATATCATCTGCAAAATCAAGGTCCTCAAGCATTGTGAATGGAGTCCATCGTATGCCTCTCAATGTCCTGTCTACTGTGTTCTTTAGTATCCAATCAGTCACAAGGTTGAAGAGGAGAGATGACATAACACATCCCTGTCTTACACCTGTCTTTACTGGGAAAGATGTATTGTAATTATTTTATACTGCAGGAAAAGTCTTTATAGAAAAGAGCAATTATGTTGACTATTTTTTTTTTTCTGGAATTCCATAGCGTCGTAAAATTTTCCATAGACCGTCTAAATGGACGCTGTCAAAAGATTTTTTAATATAAGTTTTTGTTCTCCTCGATATATGACTGTTGGGTTTCCTGGATGTATTCGTGTTAGGTCTTCTCAATATAAGCGTGTTGGCTCTGCTGGATATAAATGTGTTGCGTGTCCTAGATATAGGAATATTTAGACTCCTCAATATACGTCTGCAGCTTTTCTCAATATAAGTATGTTGGGTCCCCTCAGTGTAAGTAAGTGTGATGGGACACCTCAATATAAACAGTATATCGCTTCTCGTCGATATATGTATTTTGGCTCTCCTCGATGCTAGTATGCTGGGTTTCTTCGATAAGTGGGTGTCCTTGATAAGCGTAAGGGATGAGCTGGTTGGATTACCTTCATACACGACCATGAGTCTTTTGTATATAGCCGTAGATGTGGATTCTGAATTACATAATTTGAAAATGTTGTTTAAACCCATGTTCAACCTGCGATCTGTGGAACGGTGGACCGCCACACCTGTCTGCTCAATCACATAGTGCGCTCAATCACATAGTGAGCTCAATCACATAGTGTGCTCTATCACATAGTGCGCTCAATCACATAGTGCTTCATAAACCAGACAGCGATAGTGAATAGATGTCTCTCTCGGAAACTACTTTCCCGCCAAGTATATCATATTTTCTTACCTTTCTACCATAAAAACTATCCATATTCGTTTACGTTTCTGTTTGAGCCGTTAGCTGGTCATCGGCATAGTATTAATTTCCAAGTCAGCGAACTTAAACAAAAATTAAGAACACTAATTTACACTAGAGACAGCAGGTCTATTTGTATTCGTTGCTAGTACCATTCCTTGTTCTTCCTGCTAGTGTCAATTCACATAGAGTGAGAACACCATCAGTACCACGTAACAGACATTTTGCAGAGTTGCTCTAATTACGGCCTAGTGGGGGGAAAATCATATCAATCGTTTTCCAGTTTTACTGTCACATGAATGTCATTTCCAGGTCTCTTTCATGCTCTGTGTAGACTTTTATTTTGATTGACCCCTGTTTCTTCCTTATTTTCTCCCCCAGCAACAAAACTTCCCAGCAACAACACCGTTTTATCTAAGATCTTGAGATAAGATACATACAAGAAGACGATCTTGTACATGGACGTATGTACAAGGTGACACTCTTGACAGTGCATGCACATACATACAAGAAAACAGTCTAGAAAATACATGGACATATTTGCAAGGAGACAGTCTTGACTGTACATGCACATATATACAAGAAAACATTCTATGAAGTACGTGTATATATATATTTAGACACTTCTCAAAGTATATGTACTTCCCAGCAACAACACTGTTTTATCTATGCTTGTGAGAGAAGATATAAACAAGAAGACGATCTTTAAAGCACATAGACATGTGTATAAGGTGACTCTCTTGACAGTACATGCACATACAACCAAAAAAATAGTCCAGAAAGTACGTGGACATATATGCAAGGAGACAGTCTTGACAGCACATGCACCTACATACAAGAAAACAGTCTATGAAGTACCTGGATATGTATATACTCAAGGAGACAGTCTTGAAAGTATAAGGATATTATATATATATATATATATATATATATATATATATATATATATATATATATATATATATATATATATATAATGGCATCCGTCAGTCCCGGGGGACTATGGAGATGTGCCGCTGGCTTTGGGAACAGCATCTGCTGTGACTGTAAAGTCCGATGCGGGAATGGCAGTCTTTGCCACACAGGATACACACACAAGCAGATACTCCCTCGTTGTGAGGCAGTTTTACTCTCCGGTTCATTCTCTCCACATCTCGTTGTGTTCGGTTTCTTTCAAAATGTGACAGTCCGTCTTTCACTTTCTGTCTCCATAATAGTCGATCTGCAGCTGATTTTTCTTATTTCTCTGTGCCTATGTTGGTATCTATTAGGTCACGTTTGCATACATCTTTATAGCGCAGCTTTGGCCTTCCTGTAGGTCTATTCCAAGTCACCAATTCACCATATAGGAGATCTTTTGGAATACGACCATCCACCATGCGGGAGACATGTCCCAGCCAGCGCAGACGTCTTTGCTTCAGTATACAATACATTGATGGTATTTTTTGCTCTTGTGAGCACACATTCGTTGGAGACAAGGTCTCGCCATAATATACCAAGGATGCGTCTCAGACAGCGCATATGGAAGGTATTCAGTCTTTTTTCCTGTGGAGCATAGAGAGTCCAGGATTCGCAGCCGTACAGAAATGTGCTCAGGACACAAGACTCATAAACCTTCATTTTTGTATTATCAGTTAGCTTTTTGTTTGACCGGACTCTTTTGTGAGATTTGCAAACATAGCAGAGGCCTTTCCTATACGTTTGTTTAGTTCTGCATCCAGAGAATGATTGCTTGAGATATGTGAGCCTAGGTACTCAATATATATAATATATATATATATATATATATATATATATATATATATATATATGTGTGTGTGGTGTGTGTGTGTATGTATGTATGTATGTATGTATGTATGTATGTATGTATGTATGTATGTGTGTATAAATATATAAATAAATATATATATATATATATATATATATATATATATATATATATATATATATATATATATATATATATATATATATTTAGACAGTTCTCAAAGTACCTATACTTCCCAGCAACAACAATGTGTTATCTAAGATCGTGAGAGAAGATATATACAAGAAGACGATAT